GGCCTTAGCCGTGGAAAATGGATGGGAATTGAGACATATGGATATTAATAATGCGTTTCTTAATGGTGACTTAGATGAATATGTCTTCATGCAGCAACCACTAGGGTTCGAGCAATTTACAAAGGATGGAACTCCTCTTGTTTGTAAACTACAAAAGGCTCTCTACGATCTTTGACAGGCCCCACGAAACTGGCATACCAAACTTAGAGATAATATAGTGCAAATAGGGTTTGTTGCATCACGAGCAGATCTATCGTTGTTTGTCAGTATGAGAGATGATGGTGATATCTATGTGCTGGTGTATGTTGATGTTATTGTCATTATTGGGCAATCATCCAGCATAATTCAAAAGGTGGTGCAATTGCTTATAGACAGGTTCTCGCTCAAGGATCTTGGTATGCTCAATTTTTATTGGGGATTGAAGTTTGTCGTTCACGTGGTTCTGTTGTGCTAAGCCAAAAGAAAGTTATGCTGGAATTACTGGAGAAGGCTGGAATAAAAGGTGCAGCGGCCTATGCCATGCCAATGGTTTTGGCTTATAAGTTTTCAACAGACGAGGGGGAGTTGTTATCGGATGCTAGCGAATATCGCAGCATAGTTGGCTCTTTGTTGTATGTGTGTCATACACGTCCCGACTTAGCCTATAGTGTTAGAAAGGTTGCACATTTTATGCATGCACCACGTGAAAATCATATGGTTGTAGTCAAGAGGATACTTCGATATTTGGCTGGAACTATTGGTTATGATCTTTTGTTCCAACCGTTTGATGTTGGGTTGACTGTTGTTGCATTTTCTAATGTTGATTGGGGTGCAAATATAGATGATTGAATGTCCATATCCGACTATAGGGTGTTTGTTGTTAAGTGTCTCGTTGCATGGAGCTCTAAGAAGCAGAACAATGTGTCGAGATTGATGATGGAAGTTGAGTACAATTGTGTTGCAGATACTACAACTGAAGTTACCTAGTTGAGTGCTTTACTTGCTGATCTAGACTGCACCAGCATCAGGAATCAGTGATTTGGTGGGATAATACAGGTGCAGTGACGATGAGTGTCCCCTGTTTACCATGCTTAGTCTAAACATATTAACCTGGACGTTCACTTTGTTCGAGAGAAAGTTGCTACTTGTCAGTTTCAGGTGAACTACATACCAGTTGCACACCATGTTGCGAATAGTTTCACCAAGCCTTTGTCTAAGGTTGCATTTGAGGAGTTTCGCATAAAATATGCGTGTTGTTGTTGTTTAAACCAAGAACGAAGATGGGATTGAGTAAAGGGAATATTAGACTGTTATTAGAAGAGTACACGTGTGTGTTCTACTGGATATGGTGTTGAGTAGTTAGCCATTATGTTAGTGGTTAGCTAGTTTGTTAGATAGTTAGTTGAGGATTAACAGACTTTGCAGCTTGTATAGATGTTGTATCTATTGATGAAAGAAGGCAACTATCCTTTATGTGAATTCTCTACTCATTATGCTTTCTAATATATGTTTTCCCTCCATAACACTATCATGCCACTTTGACTTCGCACCTTGTTTTCTTTTCTCAGTGTGTGTATTTCATGTGTGATTAGTGGTTCTAAAGTCGTTCTTAATTATCGTCCCCTTCAAGCTTCCCAATGAGAACTTCATGGATGGTGTTTAGGCAGTTCAACATATGAACACATACCATGGTTCGCTATATATGTTGCTACACAAGAAAAAATGGTGATGAATTCATCTGTAACATTACAACAGAATTATAAATTACGAGCAGCAGACCAAATTGGCGAATGAGAGTGTTGCTACAGCAGAAAAAGAGATGTTTTGTACTTAATTGAGGTTTTGTACTTGATTGAGCTGCATATGAATTATTTTACGCAGTGCAGGTAATGGTATACTACATTTATGGCATAAGCATAGCATCGTCAGGCAAGAACGTTACCTTGCCTTTGCAAAGCTACTAAAGCATCCACTTCAACTTTCAAAATGTTAACGATTTAAATAATAATGCGAGTCTTAAATTATTTTGTTCCTTGTTTGGACCTTCCTTAACCATTTGATCAAATCTTATATTTGTAATATAAAGATAAATTATATGTTTACTCACGAAATTTTACTCTTTCTCTTGTTTTATTCACCGTATTTTTAATTTTTTAGTTTGCTCACTAAATTTTAGATATGTTGAATGTATCGATTCTATTCAAATAAGTATCAATACTTTTGGAATTTAAAAGAAAAGAAACCACAAAAGCGCCTATAAAGTATCGATAATTTATAAACATGTATCGATACATAATAATATAACAGGTAAAATATGACAAAACCGGTTTTATTATGACAAAACTGGTAAAGCGCTACTGGATATGTTGAATGTATCGATACTTTAATAAGTATACGTAAGAAATTATCGATACTTTTAAAAGAAATAGCTAAATAACCTATCGAAAGTATCGACACCTGACATAAAAGTATCGACACTTGAGTAATTGTATTGATTAAAATATAAATAACATAAAACTATTGATTTTGCGAATCCTAAACCCTAAAATATTTTTGTTGTTGTTGAAATCCTAAAACCTAAACTATAAACCCTAAACCCTTAATACAAGATAAGTGACCCTAAACCCTAAAATATTTTGGTTATTGATAAAAACCTTTATAAATTCATAGTATGTTGAGGGCAATGAAAGGGGTAGAGGATGGTGATATATACCATAATGGTGGTTACAAAATTATTTTTTATAAGAAGAAATTGATTGGAGGGAGAATGTTTAGGTTTAAGGTTTAAGATTTATTGTTTAGGGTTTAAGGTTTTTAATGATAATTAAAATATTTTAGGGTTTAGGCCAATGTCATAATCTGCATTTTTTCGTCTATTTATATCTATAAATAAAATAACAAAATTAAATTAAATTAAGATTTTATACTAATCTATATAAAAAAAAATTGAAATTGTAAAGTATTCGTCTTTAGTAATTTAATACTCGTAATATAATTAACAAATCGTAAGAAATAAATTCAAATTCCTTCTCCTCCAACACCCACGGTTTAGGTTTTTGAGTTCTAATTTAATTATGGATTTCTAAAAATATGCTTAAATTCCTTCTTCTTCCACTACCCACAGTTTAGATATAATCACCCGCAGATTAATTTTTATTTAAGCAATTAATCTGAAGAACATTATTTAATGAAATAAAATTTCTAAGCACATTATTTCGTGAGTTTTACCATTTTTTAACAGTAGATTAAATAAATATTTTTTAATTATTAAAAATAAGTAAAAAATAATTAAAAATTTCCCCCACTGTCCTACTTTCGTTCTTTATCCTTCCTCCTCTTCTCGTTCTCTCTCTATATTTCTCTTCAACTTAAGAAAATCCAACAACAAAATATTCCCTCCTCCTCTTGATTACCCTTTTCCCCCCTAAAATCTTCCTTCCTTCTCTTGGATAATGGAGTTAGATTGAAAAGACTAACATTGGAGATGAAATCCTCCTTATAATGATCCCTTTTTTTTGCCCAAAATCTTCTCTTCTTTCTCAATCCCCCAAAGCTTTTCTCTTTCCCGATTTTCTTTCCTCCTCTTAACCCATTTCCTTCCTTTTCTCTCTCATTCAAGCACCCATCTTATTCTCTGCTCACAACTTAGAATCTTCCATCACAAGCTTTACTACAATCTTTAATTTTCAATTTCGAAAATCCAAAGCAAATTCGAAAGAAAGACTACTATTAGTTTATTACTTTTAGCATTCAATCTCAACACTTTATTAATCAAACCCATCACCTAAATCAACATCTTTAGCCATTGTAGCATTTTCTCGAAAGGGAAATTATTTCAACAGAGTTCGAGTCAACTGATGGTAATGTGAAACTTGCAAGATTTAACCCACCCGCCAACCACCACCGTCTTACCAAACAACCCCATATCGCCATCACTACTTTCCAAGAAGGTTTTCATTTTCAACATCACCCCGTTCGAGTACATCGAAGGCGTCAAAGTGGAGTCGATAGCCTTTGGTTCTTGAGACTCCATCTTCTGTTTTGAAATGGGAACGGAGAAAAAGAGGTGAAACAAGAAGGAAAAATAGGTGAAACAGTGATGATGTATCTTGATAGAGAAAGAGGTTGTTTTTCCTTGATAAGGAAGATAAATTTATATAAATAATATTAATAAAATATTAATTGATTAAGAAATTAATAAAAAAATGTTTCATCACGACAATTTTAAGAAATAAATTAGTGATAAAAAAAGTTTAATGTTTAAAATTCAGTGAATAAATTAAAAAGATTAAAAGTAAGATGATTAAAATAAGAGAAAAATAAAGTTCCACAAGTAAACGTATAATTTACCGTAATATAAAATACAACATTATTTATATATCTTATTATGTAGCTAAGGTCAGGAAATAAGAAGAAAACAAATCCCAGGCCCAGTTAGACAGTATATAATGTAAAAATAATAAGGATAAAGTAATCATAAGATTAAATTTATTATATTAAATTAAAACTAAGATTGGATTAATAATATAGAATATAAAAATAATGAGAATAAAATGTATAATTATATAAATTTTGTTAATTGACATTTTAGCTTTTTCTATCAAATGTTAATATATATGACATAATTGACATCATTTAAATAATTAAGTGGTATAACTTAGAATTTAAAGGTTGATAATTAAATCGATATCCCCTATAACTAAGGGGTCTAAAATGTTACCCTAACTAATAATGGTAAGTGAGTCATGTTATAATCGGTTGTGTTGGATTATATGCAAAACATGGATTGAAGACGGTTATAGTTAATCAATGTGATACATCTGTGATAAAGAGTGTTTAAGTCGAGCTGTAATGCCATCCATATGTAGTGCCAACCTATCCAGACTGTCTTATTTGTGTCAACATTCGGAAAAAAATCTTACGTTAAAGATGCCATACAGAATATTATATCTATTGATAATAAATGCAGTTTATGCCATATAGAATATTATTTCTATTGATAATAAATGCAGTTTAATCTCGGACATAGATAATAAGCATCGCCATTAACTCAATCTAAGTACACCATACCACGCCATATCGCCATTTCTATACTATAACTTATTGATTCATTCCCGGCAGGAGAGGATCAAAAGTTGAAAAGAAACTAACAAGCTATACGATTATTCCTTTTTTTGCCATACTGCATATCTTTGTCCGCTAGTTGCTAGTGTCCACCCTCCGTCTGTTGGACACCATGAACCATCCCCAACCTTCATGCATATTTTCTCTCCTATCGCGGAATAGAGATTGTCTTGGGCCTCCAAAATTCTGACAGATGACCGGCTGTGAATATCCTCACTCCTCCTTATCTCCATCTGTATACAAGATTTTTAAGCCTTACTTTCTCGAAAACCATACCAATTATAAGGAAATGGTTGTGTAGCGTACCAATTTAACAATTTGTTCGTGAATGGAATCACCGCAATCATAGAAGTGATCATAGAACACCGTGGGTATTCCTGGATGTGTAAGTATGTATGCGTAACCCTACAAGAAAACATGGATCCATAACACATATGAGACCGAGAAACACCAAAACTTTTAACAGCATTTCAGATAGAATGTGGCTGCAAGTTGTCTTGAGCCCATTGGCAGAGAATTGTAATGCAAGTTATCTAATGCTGTTGGGTATATGCAACCGACAGCATCTCATACCTCCATAATATTATTTGAGGGGAAAGGCCAATGAGCCTGCAAGATTTAAACAATTGATGGGGTGAGTTGATTCCAAATGCAGATTGGGAAGATATAGGTCTTGAATGTTACCATAAATTGCAAACGATTTTATAGAAATTTGACAAATACTTCTTACTGAAAATGTTCAGCAGAATATATCCTTCACCTTCGATTCAGGCTTACCACTCATAGAGGTAAATCCGAACCCTTAATACTTAAAGCACAATTTAAACGTTGATCAGATTGATGTTTCTAGTTTTTCCATTTCATGCTAAGTTTCTAAGAACTGCCAATCTTAACAAAAGCATATCAACAGGATATACATGGTTTCTGTTAACTAAGGTGATTTAAATTTGAAGGATATCATGTCATGCCATTGGAAAAAGACTACAATAGAGCCCTGAAAAAGCAAACTTGGAAAAAGGGACAAATTAAAGACCTAACAGTGTCAGTATTGAAAAAGTTACAAGTCATAAGGAGGTAGTACTTGCTCCTATGTCGCCCTCACAGCCATCAAAGTTAAAGAGCTGCGATAAATCAAGAAATTCTCTAGTACCTGGGTTGAGCCTGTGTCATGGTTCTCAATAAATGTGACAGCCCTAGAAGGCCACCACCCCATTACACCTGGAGGCTTCCCTTCAGGGTCCCGCAGGCGCCAGAACTGCCCCTTTACAGCTTCCTGCATCATTACAACCAAGTAAAAATCAAAAGAAATTGAAAGACAAAAGAATCTCATTTCATATGGAGTAGAACAGTATCATTACAGATTGGCAGGTCTTAACCAGGGGATGAAGGTGAAGTAGAAATCTAGACAAAGATGAAAATGTGCCGTTTTAAGACAGTGGAATCATTATCATCGGAATATGGTTCTACTGTAGACAAAAATGCCAGTCCCATTTTCTTTGTACATGTTAGAATGCTTTCTGCACCATACCTGAAGAATCCCCTTGGTTGTGAAGTCAAATGCAGTTGAAAGCTGCCCCGTGGCATCAATCCAATTAATGATCCTTTGTCTGTGGCTATCTGCAGTAGAGGTTGTAATCCAATGTCATAACACAGACATGACAAAATTCTTAACCAATCAGCTAATAAAATTATCAGTCTCTTTGTAATGAAAAAGAGTAACATCTTTTATGGATGACTGATCTCAATACAAAAAACAAATTACGCACATACCTTGGTTGTAGTCTAATATAGATCCATTATAATTGCAAGAATCCCAATACTCCCCAACAGAAAATATAGGCTTTGCTCCTTCAATGTATTCTTTCACATATTTTGCTGAATAACTGAAGTATGCATAGTGAGATGGAAAGCAGATCATTTATAGACAAAAATAATCCACAAGTACTATATTGTTCTTACCCCTTTGCAAAATCAAAGCGAAAATTTTGAAAACCAATACTACGCAGCCACTGCAGCCACCCTATGATGTCTCTCCGGACAAATTCTTGGCTGTGATCAATATTTGGAACCCCATGGAAGTTGTCTCCAGTGCTATGGTTACCCTAAGACAATATTTGAGGTCAGAAAATAACTTAGAGCACAGTTATACCCACCTTACATAAGAAAATCCCATTGAAGGCCATGCAATGAAAAGCATCAAAGAGGCAGTCAAAATATGAATGTCCTTACTAATCCACCAGTACAAGACGTGACAGCATGCTCATCCCATGCTAGTGGAATTCCATCATAACGGTTATATATTCCTCTATGTCCTTGAGTAGTTCCAATACGATGATTGATTACTATGTCAGCCATTGCTCTAACTTTGAACTTCTCCAGACTTTGAAGTAAAGCTTTCAATGACTGCTCAGACCCATATGACGAACTGAGTGAATATAGGTTTTGGGGAAGGTACCCTGTAATAAGAAAACAGGAAACAGATGCAAATATATAAATCCCGATCAGGCATGTACATTTTCTAACAAACTATCTCATGCTTTGAAGAAAAATTGTCTTCAACCTTCGGGTGAAAAGGAATGAGTAGCTGGTGGCAGCCATACAGATGTAAACCCAGATTTTGCAATATCAGGAACTTTCTTTTCTAAGTTTTCCCACCAGCCATGTTTCTGAGACTCCCAGTTAAAACCCTGTTGAACATATTAAGCAACTATTAAAATAGCTTCAGCTGTCAAACCTCAGTTCTTTATGAAGAATTTTATGCATGCATTTCACATACTACTTGATAACAACTTGATAATGTCAAAACTGAGCCAACCTCTTTCAGATACATAAAGAGATCGGTCCATTTAGTATACAATCAACATTGTCAATCCAAATCTCCAATTTTTTGTAAAAGAAATGATAAACAACATAAAATTTACCTGCAAAAGGATTTCCCTTCCCTTCCTCAACACGACACCTAAAAATTAAATCCAAAAACACAGTTAGGAGTAATTTTTCTTCCAACGTTTTTCCCTGAAAACTCCAAAAGTAAGAAGGAACAAAATCTTCCAATTCTTCATCTTAAGATATCCGCCAACAATACGATTGTAGTAAATAAATCCCCACAGGCGCTAAGTTGATTATTCACAAAATTCAGGTGAAATAGTTTTGTTTAGTTTTTCTCATATCAAGAAGCATGGCAAACCGAAAGAACAAGTTTAATTCACTGTTAGTTTTGCTCTCTTGATATACAATAAACAAAATAAGGAAACCTAAACAATTCTAGCCGTAACAAGTATCCAAATCGAGGCACTTCAAAATCCAAATAATCAATTCAGGATAGGATAACCAAATAAATAATAGAGAAGCAACACATATGCAAGAGAAAGATAACAGCATACCAAGATCATTGCTTTCCTCAACGGTCTGCATTTCAGTATATCTCAACATCAGAGGAAATGGTATACAATAGCTTTAAGTTCAACAAGAATAACTGATTTTTGTTTTTTTTTTAAAAAGAAAAGGCCATCTTGAAATGGAACGGAGCAAGAATTTACATGTTCCAAGTTATCCATATCGAGTCAAGTAGTTGCTGCCCAAATTTGACGCTGGGTCGTGGAAAATGAAGCACTGAGACACCCTGCAAACGCAAACAAGTCCAAATTTCTAACTTAAATTCAGAATATATAAGGGCAAAGGACAAAAAATCTGTGTAATTGTTTAGATTTAGAAAGCTAATTCTTTTTTTCTAAACGGGAAAAGTTAAAACAAGTAGATCAGCAAGTAATGAACTTTCAAGATTGCGATCAATGCGGAAACTGCGTGGAAATTTTACAGGAAGGAAACTAACTATATAAATTTGACTGCGATCCGCTCGCAGCGTGGATGGGTTCTCGCGTTCCAGAGGTAGGAATGAATAACAAAAGGCAAAGGCCCGGGAATTGACCTTACGCTCTGAGAAGGAAATAGAGGGAAATTGGCTTGAAGAAGAAGGCTTTTACAATGTTATATATATACATATTTCAATGGTGAATAGCGGCGAGCCTGAGTTGCCGTTGCTGTTGCTGTCGCTATCGAGCGAGTTGGAGATGAAGAAGGTTAAGGAATCGATATGTCTTAAAAAATATTTGGGGAGAATTAACGGTTAGAATCATAGTGAGTCACCGCTCACCGAGTAAGAAAGCATAGCTTAAGCATTAAGTAGAGTTGTCCAGATCTAGGCTCTAAATCCATTGGTTCTCGAGAGCAATAATTAAGGTTAAACATGATATTTTAAGAAAAATCTATAATTAAAAGGATGAGTCTACAATGTGCGATATTCGTTGAAATACACTATTGGTATGTATTAAAATACACCACTAATATAAATGGAGTAAAATTCATAAATGTCACAAATTTTTTAAATTAATTTTATTTATCGTTTTAAAAGTTACAAAACACACATTAAAATTTGAACTTTATTAAAAATTGTCGACAGTCATTTTCGTCCATGCTTATTTTTTTATTTGTGGCCATTTTTATTTTTTTATAATATATATGTATATATTATATAATTTTGAAAATATTTTGAAAATATATATGATATATAATTTTGAAAATATATATATGATATATAGTTTTTAAAACATTTTGAAAATATTTATAATATATGATTTTTTTAAACATTTTGAAAATATATAATATGTAATTTTTAAATTTTTTTTGAAAACGTATATATATTATATAGTTTTTAAAACATTTTGAAAACATATATATTATATAGTTTTTAAAACATTTTTAAAAAACATAAATATATATATATATATATATATTATAATTTTTAAAACGTTTTTGAAAAATATATATAATATATAAGTTTTTAAAACAATTTTTGAAAATATAAATTATATAGTTTTGAAAATTATTTTTTAAACATATATATTATATAGTTTTAAAAAATGTTTTTTTATTATATTTATTATTATTATTATTATTATTATTATTATTATTATTATTTACCATCATTTCATTTTATTTTTACTTATTTTTTTCCTTTTCTCGTTTTTGTCCCAGGGTCCAGTCCAAGAGTCCAGAGTGGGCCTAACCCAGCCCGTACGAGCATCAGACTAGGGTTTCTGGAAACAATCAGCGCCACATATTGGAGAGTCAAGGGGCGCACGTGACTGGTCAAACGGTTGAAGAACGGGCGAAACAATCAACCGATAATCCCGGGATTGACCCATCCCGGGACGAACGACATCACAACGGCCACAATCCCGCTCATCTCGGAACCAGAACGGCCAACACCTGGGCTATAAAAAGCCCCCGGTGAGGCCATGCAAAAGGGGAGGATCACCACCATCAACAGTAAACACGGAGAACGAACCATCGAACCCAAGAAACGATCACAACAAGACCAACAATACCAACACAGTGAACGAGTAAACCAAGTACCATCAACACAGAAAGCCAAACCATCATTCAAACCACAAAACCACCATCATCAAGCCACGGTGAGTACACCGAGAGCAATCGAAGCAACAGGAAGCACAAAAACAAATAACCCAAACACAGTCAAGCCAATAGTAACAGCAGCAAACCACACGCAAAAAAAAAAACAAAAAACAACCCGATCTAGACTCGGGAAGAAGCCGTCGCAAGGAACGGAAAATGTAACACCCAACCCGTACTCGACCTGGATACGAGTCCGAGATGTCACATTGACATTTTCAAAACCTTTATTCTTGTAAAATAACTGAACATTTGAATTTATATTAAGAAAATACAATCATGTATTATTCAATTATGTTTGGTATAAAATTTTGAGATAAAAACGTGTTTATGAACGGTGAAATACGATATGAACAGTAATACAGTAACCTGCTACAGTGATTTTCGTAAATTGTACATAACACTCGTAAAAATTTAACAGTTCATTTCTTTGCATTTGTACTTATATAAATATGTTTAAAATATTACAAAACTCGATCAGAGCATAAATACCTAATTTACCTACTTTATTTACATGCCAACCTATTTATCACATAATAATACATACTGTGTGATTTACTTCTGATCTGGTCTTTGAGCAGAGATATGTTGTTACTATGAACTTAGCTTTGATCCTTCTGCTTCTCAGTACCTACGTGTAAATCACTTACACGCTAAGTCATAGACTTAGTGAAGCAAAAACATAATAATAATAATACATTTCTCATAAATATAAACATTCAATCTATGAATTCAATCGTGTCGCATATAATTCAGTAGACATGATAACATAAGATAATACAAGTACTTTTAATACCTTTTTATCGTATAAATATATATATATATATCCAACATTTCTCTACATACCATGGAGCACATATACTACTTCACAACAAAACATACATAGTAGCAAATCAATTTATTTATTTACTCTCTGTAAAGACCATGTATTAGCCCATGTATACTTTTGAGAACTTAAGGTATGTGAGTACATTGAGGTTGTGCACTATTATGCTGTCACAACAGCTCGATCAATGTCCCGAAGGACCAGTCCATAGATTCCGAAGAACCTAGGTAATCAGTCCATATGTCCCGAAGAACATAGGTAAACAGTCCATATGTCCCGAAGAACATAGGTAAACAGTCCATATGTCCCAAAGAACATAGGTAAACAGTCCATATGTCCCGAAGAACATAGGTAAACAGTCCATATGTCCCGAAGAACATAGGTAAACAGTCCATATGTCCCGAAGAACATAGGTAAACAGTCCATATGTCCCGAAGAACATAGGTAAACAGTCCATATGTCCCGAAGAACATAGGTAACCCTCGACCCTTGGCATGCCAACTATACCCCTAGCTCTCATATCACATAACATGGGCATTATCATTTATGACCGTTCACATTACTTATTCATATTCTTTCTCTTATAAACACATATCTTTTCTTTTCAGTCACGTATCACATGTACGTGTAATCCTTGATCTCATAATCACATGTTCCTTCTCTTCTATCACATACCAAATGTATGTGTAAGCACATATCTAATATCATATGTTGCATTTTCATGTAAGCATGTAAATCATGTAACATATAAACATACATCCATTTCTATGTACTAATGCACACAGAGTAATCACATAACATTATATAAGTTACTTCTTACCATAGTAACTCTATCATTGACTCATCGCAAGCCAATGTTTGATCAATCACATAAGTACAATTTAAATTGCACTCACCTTAGCCTTGCTTTGATTCGATTATAATCCTTTGATTATTCCGGAACTTGTTTAGGCTCAATATCTACATAAATATATCATTTCAAAACAACTATCAGAAGCCTAAACTTTAAACTTGATGTTAATAACTTAAACCGATTTAATGAATCAATTCTATATTTTCATTTAGGGGGGAATCGATACCCCCCCAGGGGAATCGATACCCCCTGAACATACTGGAATTTTTCGTTCAAGAGGGGGAATCGATTCCCATTCATAGGGTATCGGTTCCCTCTACCCAGAAATTGTATTCTAAGCTCGAAAATCATCAATTTTCAACTCAAACCTTCATATTTCACTTCCTTTAATACTCCCAACTTTAATACACATACTTAAACTTATTTCTATTCCATAATCACTTCTTTAACTTCAAATCTAGTCATTCCTATGTAATTGCAAAAATTATACTAGTTTTGCAACATGTTCAAATTCCTATTCTAACACTTCCTATCCCTTAATTAACTTGATGACAAGTCAAATTCAACTTTCAATTCTCAATATAAACTTTATTTCGATATTTCATTCAAAAACTCCAAATCTTTAAATCCTCATAAACTCTTCATTTTGTTGTTTTAAAGCAAATTAATCCTTCCTTAATCTTACTTAGCATCTAATAATCAAAACTAAACTTAAATTTCCGCACATAATCAGCTCAAGAGAAAACTCACCTTTGCTTGGCTTCACACGTGGAGAAGAGAAAATGAAGAAGAAAAGAGAGAAGAGATTTCTGGAAAATCTCCTATCCTTATCCATATATATATATCATTTAATTATAATTTTCAAGTCTAATGACCATTTTGCCATTTAATTCTTTGGATTATTACTATAAACTTTTAGGAAATATTTCCGAACAAATCATTAAACTATTAAACTATTCTACTTTAATCACCATATTCTGAAATTTTACAATTTTGGTCACTAACCCGTATTTTGGGATGTTACAGAAAACGTCGGGATACGAAAGGTTTCAAGGGTAAAAATCAGATCTTTATGCTAGATCTACTTCGATAGGAGTGTTTTTAGGACAATCGGGTCTAGGATTCGGCTTTCCGGGATTGAGAAGAGTCTGTGGGTTGAGTTTGGTTTACCCGGCTGCCGCTTGTGGCGACCGAGGCGGCGGTTTTCGGGACGTTAGATGGCCGACTGGTTTTGGGTTGAGAGCATCCGACGAGAGGGGGGAGAGTTTGAGTGGATTGATAATTTGGGTGAATGAGAGAATGAAGGGGATTTTGGGCTATTGATATATATATAGCAAGGACCATTGTGCAAATAAGAGATTCTTAAACTCTTTCTGTCGTCCCCCATGTTCTGAAGTGTAATTCGTTTCAGTCACCATATGCAATTTGGCCACTCGATTTTCAATTGGTTCAATTTGGTTCCCGTTCATATTTTACATTTTTATTGCAATTTGATCCCAAATTCTTATTTTATTTTGTTTTGTTTATTACCATGTTTTTTAAATTATTATTAGCATTATTTATTTTTGCTTCTATTTTATTACTTTCAAAATAATATTTATTTATTTATTTAAGTTTCTCCTTTGTTTTCTTATTTCTTTGATTTATTTTTATTTATTTACTCTTTTTTGTCTTTATTTATTTTTTTCCCTTGATTCATTTTTTTACTATTACATTTTTTTTTATTTTATGTTTTTGCCTTTTAGTTTTATTTATTTATTTTTCTATCTAATACTCTTTTTGCCTTTGTATGTAATAATCTCAACCAATCAAAGGTAAGTAATTCGAATCGAGTTTTTAAATTTAAATTTAAATTTTTAATTTTTGCAATTAAAGACAACCGAAAAATTAATTGGTACCGAAAGGGCGGTTCAAGGGTGCTAATCCTTCCTTGACCGTAACCGACTCCCGAACTCGACACGTTTCTGGTACTG